AAGGAATTGACCACCGTAATGGCGTCCTGCCTCTAAAGCCCCAAGAAGCAACTTTTAAATCCCTTACCGGCGGCCGGGAACAAGCCACATGTTCAAGGGGAAGTTTCCAGGTATCAGATGGAGGCAAGGGGAAGAAGGCAGGGAGAAGGAATTTGCAGGATGGCACTGGATTGTTTTTGGAAGAATCAGGAACCAAAAGCAACCTGTCTTTCTTCGGCCAGACAGAGTTGAAACTGGGAACCAGAAGCAAGGAGCACAGAGACGTGGCTTCAAATAAACTCTGTCTCGAGGCCAATTGGACATTACAATACCCAATCCTGGCTAATCCTACAAAATTTCTCTGGAAAATGTGAGACAAACAGTAGTGTCAATAGGAGAAGTTCTAAATCTAATTGACAAATTGAAAACTAACAAATTGCTCAGTCCAGATGGTATCTACCCAACAGTTCTTAAAATAACTCAAGGGTGAAATTTCTGATTTAATAGAGGAATATGCAACATGTCCCAAGGTCAGTCTCTAAAGCTGATCAAGTTCTAAAAAATAATTCAGAGGGAATCCAATAATGTATAACTAATTAGCTTAATATTATTTCTAGGTAAAAAATACATCATATGAAACACCAAATATCAAGCATTTTTTAAAAAAGTAATATTTGACTGCTACTGAAATAACTTGTTTTTTGAGACTATCAGTAAGCAGATAGGCAAAATTGATGCAAGGTACAAATGAATGTCCTATTCAAAGAAAAAAAAACACTAAAGGAAATTTTTCAACCTGGAATGCTGTGCACCAATCTGATCACTGTCCTTCGAAAAACAATATTTAAAACCAGAAAAAGAATCACCAAAACATCAAGTTATAGTAATCTCGCTTAAGGAATCCCTGAAAACTATCTATCTTAGCTTTTAAAAAGGTAAGTAAGAAACCACATTATAAGGATTTATAAAACTGTACCCAGATAAAGAAAGGGGATAGGTTCTTTTCCTTTTCTCATAATATTAGAAGTAATTCAAGGAATCTGAACAATAAGAGAAGCAAAATGGACAAAAAGTGCTTCTTCACAAAGTCACAATCAAATCACAGAACGTACAACTACTTTCACAGTGTAGTTGTCTTGTACAGTGTAAGATGAAATAGATTAATGAGAAATCATTAGTCACGATGCCACTGCAGCATTTTCAATATCAAAGAGTGGAAGACCGTAAATTTAAAAGTCTAGGAAAATGTTGTCAGAATTAGAATGTGAATTTATTTTTTACACTGAACTAGAACAGCAGAGCAAATTGAGAAGAATGTAAAAAGAATTTTAAAAAGCATGTAAGAGTAAAATCCAAAAGAAAAAAAGTGAAGTCCAAGTATATATGATTAATAGGAGAAAAAAGACTAATGGCAAGCATACAAAAAAAAGTGGCACAGAAACAGAAACTGCTAAATGAAATGATCAATGAATCATGCCCTCACAATCCTTAGGGAAAGTAGGATTTCAAAAAGGTTTTACAAAAGAACAAAGTGGCTTCTTTCTTTTAAGAAAACATTTTGAAATGAAAAAGAGAGAGCGTAGATTTAATGCATAGGAAATTACTCTGGGAAAAAAAGCACCTAAAAGCAAAATGTGAAAAACTGACATGGAATTAAAACGGGACAGGAATGATGGGAACGAAAATTAAGCAGAAAGAAATTATGACAAAATGTGTTTAAAATAATAAACGGAGAAACTAATACAAAACACACTAGAGATTTGAGAGAACTGTTGAAGCACTATTGAATAGATGTGTGTGAGTACATATATATGTGGACACAAACGGACACGGACACACATGCACACACATCACTTCATTCTTCAATGATATGTTTGAAATCTGAAGATAGTTTAGCCTAACCATGAATATCCCAATTGTTTACAAAAAAGAAGGGAGACTAAAAACAGGTCGTTTGACATATGGTTTGTGGATGGAGATAATGAAAGACAGTAGTGATCATGTTTGTACTATTCTCTTACTCTTATTCTAAAGTAAGGTGACCAAACGTCCCGCTTTTGGCGGGACAGTCACGATTTTTCAAAATTTGTCCCTTGTCCCGCGGCGTGTTCAAAAGGTCCCGATTTTCCAAAAGAAAGAAAAGATGGCGAATCATCAATTTTAAAAAGGATGCCGTTAAAAAAAGTTTTTATTTCTCTGAAGTGTCGTTCCCTATGTGGCCTTTAGAGGGCAGTGGTTTCCCTCCCTCCGCTCGGCTCGCTCGCAGCACCCGATGAGGGGCAAGGCTCCCTCCCCTCCTGCATGTGCGCACGCCGACGCGTGCCGTTTTTGCAACAGCTGTCCGGTGGCCTCGGACAGGGGGGCTTTCTGGCGGCGGCAGCGCGGCAAAGAGGAGGCTCGGTCCCGGGCCAAGTGGCTCAGCCGTCAGAAGGGGTTTTTTTGCCCACTTCTCTCGGGCGCTGCTCTCCCTGCAGCCATGCCATGCAACCCGCCGTCAGCAATCTGGTCCGGGTGAGCCAAGGACAGGCAGACGGGGATCCGGTTGGGAGAGGCTGGTGATGGGGGTGACTTTTGAAAGGGTTTTTTCCATCCTGTAAACTGTTCAGAGAGGGCTGTAAATAAAAGCACCATGAAGCGTTACCCCTGCCGCCGCCGCCTCCTCCGCCGTGCTTTTGAAGAGCCATGAGGCCGCAGGAGTCAATAGGAAGGCAGCGGAGGAGGCGGGAGCAGGAAAAAAAGGCCCCATGCTCCTCAAAAGCACGGCGGAGGAGGCGGCGGCGGCAGGGGTAACTCTTACAGCCCTCTTCTTTTTTACAGCTCAGGTGCTCCGAGCCCCCCCCCGTCAATGGTGTCCCGCTTTACCCATCTTAAAATCTGGTCACTTTATTCTAAAGTCAAATGCCTGAATGTTTACAAGAAGCCAGAGAAAATATTAGAGACACAGAATTCACATTCTGTATTCAAAATGGACATTTCACAAACCATTTTGCTAATGGAGTATTTTGTTAGCTTGCACTCTCCTCTTCCTATGATTTCCAAATCTACAAAACAGCCAACTTTCAGCCAAGTTTTAGCATCAATTTCTAGCAAAAAAACTCCAAACCCACAATATGTTCTCCTCTCACTTACTGGGGGTACTTTAGTCACATGACCAAATGGTATCATAATGGGAAATAAAAAAGCAACAAAGAAGATTATCAGGAAAGTGGAAGTAGATATGTATAATATTGGGAGAAGCTCACTTACTACAAAAGTAAGCTAACAAGAAGTACATGTTTACACCTAAGCAAAACAGAGTGACTATGATTCCCGCTAGAGCTGGAACAGGTGTTATTCATTCTTCCTACGCATACTAATGTCCCTTTCCATTCTAAGATATCAAAGTGAAGTAACAGTTCAACCACAGCACTCTTTTTCATTCAAATAGAAAAATGCAAAATATATGTTAATGTGATAAAAACAAAGGCTCTCAGATACTGTTTCATTAGTCATTATTTTCACTGTCATCTGCAGAAGAAAAGAATACCAAAACAAAGAATGTGTTAGTGTAAAATCTGTTGTTTCAAAATAACAAATGGAGCATTAATTTATACATGCTGATATATTATATTTGTCAACAAAAACAAAAGTAGATAAACACATCCACTACAAAAACAAAAGCCATCTTGAGTAATTAAGCACTTCACTTTTTTCCCCAATAAAATATATTTCTAAAAGAAGACAAACCAGTGTCGGATTTATTCAGATTTATAAAGACAGCATCTGAAATACACTTTTATTGCAGCACTTTGAAATAAGGCATATCAAATTGCAAACATATGTAATAGGAGAAATTCATCTGAAATGCTTATGTTAATCACAGAAATCATGAATACACTGTTAGCTTAGGATAAACTTATAATTACATATATGACTGAGGTTAGCTTATGTAATTATATGTGCTCAGATAGATTTTCAGTTTAAATTGTGAACAAAACAATCTCTTTGGTACATTCTTGTATTTATTTCTAAATGTTCTTATCAAAAAGAACAATTCATAGTCTATTTTATTTTTCAGGCATAAGCAATCTATGCTCAAAATTTCCAAAAGGACTTTCCTTTCCTGGATAGTCTCATCCAGTTTCTCTGAAAAACAAAGATGGGTTTATCTTAGGAATATATTTAACCATCTCTCCCATGTCATTTCCCTGACATTAACCCAAATGCACCTATAACCACTCAGAGAAGCTGATAGCTCTCAGGAGTAAAGAACCAAAACATAAGCTGTATTAGAATATTTCTTCATTTAAAAATAACTGTCTTCATATACGAATCATCAATATCCCATGTCTAACTTCCTGGTTTATAGAACCATTGTGCATATTATCTTCCCCAATTTCCCCAGGAAAATAGCTATTTGCAATCCCTAATGTCAAAAAGTTGCACAAAATATTTTGGGAACCGTAATGAGAACCTATATGGATAGCATTAGACTACAAAACCTGGATTACTCTAAACTAAATCATGAATGTATTCTTCAACCTGAGTAGTTTCATAAATGCTGGCAGAAATATGATAATCATTTTGGACTTGTAGCGATAAGCAGTCTGATCAAGAACAAGGTGGACAGCTGCTCTCTTTAATAATACATAACAAAGTAATTTAAACTCCACAATACTGAAACAGCAGAACTCTTTTCAAGAAACTTATATAGGAGATTGAATTGGCACTGCCCAAAAAGTTCATTTTTTTTCAAAGACAACACAGCACCTACCTGTTGTTGCACTGGTAACTGCTGTACCACCTGGGTAGGTACAGCTGCTTGGCTAGCTACGGACGTCTGCAAAGTAACCGTCGAACCTGTATCCGACCCAGTCTCTGATGTCTGCATTCTTGTTGCTGTATGAGAGATAAATATACACTCATTAAATTTATGATTTTGTTTTGTTATGAATACATAATCTCTTTAAACTACCTTTATCCTACCAACCTTGACTGATCCTAAAAAAGCTAAGCAGGATTGGAACAGCCTAAGATTGTTGTTGTTTTGATGGGAAATAATCAGAAAACACCAGTTTGTAGACTAGATTGGGAAACAAACAAAACACTTTCTGGAAAAGAAGACAAAGATAAAGATAAAGAGCTAGTTTGGTCTAGTGGTTAAGGCACCGGGCCAGAAGCCAGGTGACCGTGAGTTCCAGTCCTGCCTCAAGCATGAAAGCTGGAGAGTAAGCTTAGGACAGTCACTCTGTCAATCACCTCACAGGGTTGTTGTTGGGAGGAGCAAGGAGCATTAGCTATATTCGCTGCCTAGAGTTACAAAAGTAGACCTTGACTGACTACCACAATTGAGCCCAAAATTTATGTTGCTAAGTGAGAAATCTATTCAGTTTTGTCCCATTTTACCATTTTTCTTGCCACATTTGTTAAGTGAATCACTGCATCTGTTAAATTAGTAGTACGGCTGTTAAGTGAATCTGGCCTCCCTATTGAATTTGCTTGTTAAAAGGTTGCAAAAGGTGATCGCATGATCCCAAGACACGGCAATTGTCATAAATATGAACCAACTATTAAGCATGTGAATGTAAATCATGTGACTATGGGGTTGATGCAATGGTCGTAAGTATGAATAATGGCCATAAGTACAATGGCACTTTTTTCAGCACCGTTGTAACTTTGAACAGCCATTAAACAAACTGTTGTAAGTTGAGGACTAAGTCATAAAGGCAATAAGTAAGTAAATCAACAAACCACTTTGAAACTGTTGCCAAAGTACTACACCAACACATGAAATCAGCAGCTCAACTGAAGAGAGGTTTTTTTTTCCCCACAGAACAAAAATGGACAAAATTGTGGCCATTTGAATACTGCTGAATTACAACTTCTAGCAACCCTCATTGGGCTGCTGAGAATTGTATCAGTCGCATTTGGCTGGTTACAAATTTGCCATTCACGGGGTGCTTCATTTATTTTCAAAGCCTGCACAAACAGCATTCTATGTTTTAAAAAATCCAGAAACAATATTCTGCTGTTGTTCCATTTTTATTTAATTTCTTCCTCATACAAGTTATGATTTAGTCATTTCTGCTTGACTGTGTCCAGTGATCATTAAAATTATCAACAGAAGATCAATAATGTGCATTCATTATTTTCCTGTTAAAATTCAATGTTATTTGTTTCCTTGTTCCTGTAGCCTGGTTGGCATGTTACCTTGGGACTATCCTCCCCCCCCCTCCCGCCAGGAACTCGCTATTTACTACTTAGTGGCTGGACACAAACATGGGTGCCTCCTTCCTCATAATGGTAACTTCTGGAATCTGTCCTCCGCTAATGCTCTTCTTCACTTTTGACATTTTATTTAAAGGCCAAGACTGCACCTTGAAGTCTGTTAGACCATTGGCCTTTCTGAGAAGACAAAACTAAAACTAAAAAAGAATTTCCTCCCAAGGGGTCAGAAAGGAAATTCCTCTTGGCCTTGTCTTTTCTCCTGAAAAATAATTCATCCTATGGAATTGTCTCCACTGTTCCAATGATCAAGAAATCACTGTGGATCAAGGCTTTGTTTTCTGTTACTGTCATAACTCTGAAGCCTGTGGGAAGAACACTGAGCCAGGATAAGACTTTCTGGACATCTAGCCATTCTATTTATGGATTGGTTTTTAGAGTCATGGTTCCTGAGAGGATTTTTCCTTTGTTCCACATGGAAAGACTAACAGAATCAATACAGATAGCCCCAATATTCATTTAGTGACCGTTCAAAGTTACAACGGCACTGGGAAAAATGACCTATAACTATTTTTCACATTGTCGCAGCATTCCCATGGTCACATGATCAAAATTCAGATGCTTAGTAAGTGAGTCATATTTTGACAGTTTCAGTGTGCAATTTCATGTGATCATCACCTTTTGTGATCTCCTGACAAGCAAAGTTAATGGGGAAGCCAGATTCACGGAACAGCTGTAGCAAGAAAGGTGGCAAAATTGGGCAAAACTCACTTAACAACGGTCTCGCTTAGGCACAGAAATTTTGGGCTCAATTGTGGTCAAAATTCGAGGACTACCTATTCTCTTTATCAGCAAAGAAAAAAAGGTAAATCCATTAAATTCCTTTCTGTGACAACCTTATCTGTCATAAGGGAATTGCCTCCAAGAAAAACTGTGTGGCAGAAAGTGCTGCTATTTAAGATATTGCATATTGCTTTGCCCACATTTACTCTAGATGGACTTTTTGGCAATTGCTTACTCTTTACCCCACTGGTGCATTGCTTAAGGACAATTTGATCCACTTGTGAAGCCCAGCAACTAGACAATAGTAATAAAAGCTGGCTGGCTACTTCGATCCACACAGCTTGCTAAAAAACCACAATGATGGAAAGATGGGAATATGAGTTAAATAAGATGATATCCTCCTGATTTTAAATCTTTTCTTCAGAATTTTGCCACCTATATTTTCCATATAATGCAGCTCTTGTTTCATATCACTTCTGTCCAGTAAGTCCCTACTGGCTTTTCAAAAGATACCGTATCCCCTCATCACCTTGGCTTGGGTCCTGCAACATGTTCCCTTCGTCAACTTTTTCTTTAACTAAACTAAATCATATATTTGCATTGTTTTTCTGTAAATAGTTTAGTATTGTATGTGTTTTACTTCCATATTACTTTAAAATGCACACACATATATTTCCATTCAAAATTTTCATTGCTTTTCTTCCTTCTTTATCATTCCACTAGAAATAACATAATATTGTCCAGATTTTCCACAGGCACATCACATGTCTGTCTGTCTGTCTGTCTCTCTCACTGTGTGTGTGTAACTCCTTATTTTCTTTCCCTCATGCAGTAGCATACGTTGTGTCCAGATTGTGTTCTGCTTGCAAACAAGAACTCTTGTTAAGAAAGGTGGTAGTGTATGTCGGTGTTTTGTTTGTTATCCCTGCCGTAACATTTAATATTAATATTTGCACTCCTTTGCAAAATAAAAAATCTTTATAATACAAATCTCTGTAGTGTCTGCATTTCTGTTTGAGACACCTTTAAACCATTCAAAAGGAATCGGAGGTGGAGTGGGAGACAAGATGGTTACAGTCAGACACAGTGAAAAGGAATTCATGAAAATATAGCTCCGATTTAAGGACTATACAGTAATACAACAATTGTGTATGTGATCACTCAGAAGCAAAACATTTGGCATTCACTAGCTAAGTATAAGTAAACATAGCTTAAAATACTAAAACATTGAAAAATATTTAAAAAAAGTTTTTGAAAGTAACACAAGACTTGTATATAAACAGTAGCAATAAATACAGATATTTTTATAGTTCCAGAAAGGAAAGGAATCATAGCTAAGACACCCCAGGACTCAGAAAATATTAGTGATTGAATTTATATAAACAATTTTAATCCATTTCCAAAAACTGAAAGACACCTAAACTTGTTAATTCATATCTATCTATCTCCATCGATGGAAACAATTTTTAATCTTTCACCCAACCTAACTTTTATCTTTTATACAAAGTCTATATTTAAGACCTACATCTTAGGGGTGTTTTTGGTGCTATGTGAAACACTAAGTTAAACTACAACATAGCCAATATTTTACGGATGACATGCTTTGAAGTAATTGTTAATTTAGTATCTTTACAATGCTTTTTTAAAGAGATATTTGTTCTCACAATGAAGGCAGTCAGATTAATCTATTTTGAAAGGCTAAATAATCTTCCCTGCTGTTTAATAATCACCCTGTCTGTATGTTAACAAACTGTATGTGACTGCAAGAGAGACAAGTTGAATTTCAATCTGACTAGCCTTGCCTAGTGCAATTGTCACCAGCCACACCAGATGCTTATCTGACAAAAGACCTTTGCATTCTGTCCAATTAAGCTGTTAGACACCCCTACCTGTTGTGGATCTGGGCTACAGAAGTAGCCATAAATGAAGGAATATAAATACACCATAGTTTGAAAGAAGCCAAATTAACTTACACAAGAGGAAAAGAATATTGTATTAACTTAACTGCTGATCATGACAAGATTAGCATTCCTTTAAATTAAACAAAAGTATTTCAATGTTCATCTTTTTTAAAGCAAATGTATTGGTAAAAAACACACATTATTTGAAAAATACCTTCAAGATGATTTAATAAACTGAATAAGTACAGTAGAAATCCTTTAGTCTTCTATTCTTTATATACCTTACCAGAATGGTTTACTGCATAATGAATCTGATGCATCCATTGCATAGCCAGCCACATGTTGTAAATATAGCATATTAATAATAAACTAATTTTAGCATGTATTTTTATCATGACTGCTGCTCTAAGTACTAAATTTGTGAAATCTCAATATCTACTTCAAATAATGATACAGATTTTAATTCAGTACAGAAAACAAAGGCCTGGAATTTTTATTCAAATGTACTGTTTTTTTCTCTACAGAAAGTAAAAACATATCTGTCTAAAAATTAAAATAACTTGATGAGTCACAGAGAAGCAAAGGAGCTTAATTATAAAAGTGAATGTAGTATACAAGAAATTTCAAATTACTATCATTTTCCAAAATATTGTAATAACATTTAGTTTCATCTATAGACGATCAAAGCATAATAGAGAACTATAGTTGGGTCACCTGTTGCCATAATTGGTGGACCTGAAGCTAATCTGATATGATAGAAAAGGAATATAGCAAAAAGCAATCCCAAAATGTCAGTGCAATGCTGAACGTTACACGTATTATTTAATACTTTGTGCTACATTCCTATTCTATGAAGAAAATGTGAGCTAGTTAATACTGAAGACTGAGCATGAAAAGCTTTACAAGCACTGGGGAATTTCATAATGGTAAAAAGAAGAGACTAGATTTGCACTGAAAACAATTCCTTGTAACCTTTAGTATTTTATGAAC